GTAGCGTCCTTGCTCCTAGTAGCGATGCCAGGAGCCCCTAGTAGCGTTCCTGAAACTCAATCGCATCAGTGAAGTCACTCTCATGAACTAGCTAGCTATGCACAAGATCTCTGGCCTCAAGCGAGCGGCTGTCATCGCCACCTTCGCAGACTCGTGGTCCACAGTCGTGGTACAATTCAACTAATTCAACTGGCTGTTAGCCCAGACTTTCTGGATTCAAGAGATAGAAGTTATTTTCTTTGAGACTGTGCTTGTCGTATGTCAAGAAGAACCAAGACCGTAAAGTTTCTGAAGCTCAGACGCCACGGGCATGGCTGCTCTAGCTGCTCTACGTTTCATGCTGAAGACTGAGACAGGGAGGTGTGCAAGTTGTTTCCACTCTTTCTGAAACAGTAAAGACTAGCCAGCACCACTTCAAGCGTTTTCAAATTGGCTTGGCTCAATGCATTCCAAGCGCAAGCACTTTTGGATCTAAGAGAGCTGTAAATGAATGAACAGTTAGCCTGAGTGCCCCAGACAGAGCCTATATAGGCACGTCAAACCATGTGCACACTCAAGCGGACTCAAGCGATGGGAAGTCGCGGAAAATATGCGCTTGCACAATGGCTATAATAAGGCAGACTCTTTTGGTCAAAGAAACAGAAGGTCAGGTCAAAAAAACTATTATGTATGTTTCACAGAAGGTTGGAGGCCATCGCTAGTAGGTTGGAGGCCATCGCTAGTACGGTGGAGGCCATCCCCGGTAGGTTGGAGGCAACCGCTACTAGGTTGAAGGCCATCGCTAGTAGGTGGGAGGCCATCGCTAGTAGGTCGCTAGTAGGTTGGAGGCAATCGCTAGTAGGTTGGAGGCATCGCTAGTGGGGTGCAGGCCACCGCTAGTAGGTTTGAGGCCGCTAGTAAGTTGGAGACCGTCGCTAGTAGGTTTGAGGCCATCGCTAGTACGTTGGAGGCCATCGCTAGTAGGTTGGAGGGCCATCGCTAGTAGGTTGGAGGCCATCGCTAGCAGGTTGGAGGCCATCGCGAAAAGGTTGGAGGGCATCGCTGGAGGCATCGCCAGTGGGTTGGAGGC